TCGGCGATGCGGCGCGATCCTCTGACCCCACCTGCTCCGACCGCGTCTGCGAGGCGTGGAGACAACGGCAGCCCAAAATCAGCCCCTGGACTTCTCCCAGAGCCCAAACGCACAAAGTTTCCGAGCTGCGCCCAGCCGTGGCAACGAAGAGGCCACCCGAGGGCCAACTGCCGGTGTCTCAACTCGGAGGAGGAGGAGGACGACGACGAGGAGACGAGGAGGAGACGAGGAGGACGAGGAGGAGGAGGAGGAACGAGGAGGACGAGGAGGAGGAGGAGAAGGAGGAGGAGGAGGAGGAGGAGGAGGAGGAGGAGGAGGAAGCCTCCTTGCCGCCGGGCGGCCCTGGGGAGCCCCGCTCCGGCAGCACGCCCGGCGCGGCCCTCCCGACGTCCCCGCCGCCGGCGTGCAGCAGGCTCTGCAGGTCCCGCTGGCTGCGCCGGCGCAGGTGGCCCCCGTTAGGGGGCCGCATGCGAGCCCTGCCCCTACCTCCCACGATTTCTGAGGGGGAGGGGGGGGGTTCATATCACTCGGGAGCTCCCGAGCGAAGTGAACCCCACCCTCCCCCTCAGAGATCGCGGGGGGGTAGGGGTAGGGTTCGCATGTGGCCCCCTACCCGTGCCCGAACGTGCTGCCCTCGAAAAGCATCGTCTTCCGCACGGTCCTCCTCGGGCCCGTGGGCGAGCCATGACCCTCCTCCAGGGACCAGAGAGCCACCCTCACAACAGTCAGCCCGTCAACTATTCGCGATCAAACCCGTGGCTTGCCACGACTCCACCCTCACGTCACGATTAGAGCCAGCTCCGTGTGGGAATGGGCCATGCCCAAGCATTCCCAGACGGCGGTAGCGCGAATCATGACGTGACTGGCTCCCTCCCTCTTTCCCCCTGGTCAAGCCCGTCAACGCCAGGGTGTAAAAATGTTCTCCAAACGAAGCCCTTTACTAAAACTGTCGAGCAGCACAGGGCTGCTCGGCCAACACCCAGGACTGTTCAGTAAACCCCACCCATGTGGGAGCAGAAACCTTCGGAGGTCCGCGCATATCAGGTCGGCGTCTCTGGCCCCCCCTGGCGGCGCGTCTGGCGCCGCCTCTGGCGCGCTCCGAGCGCGGAGAAAGAGAAATCCACGCGTACCTCCGAAAGGGCATTCTTATGCAACGTTTCCTCCCTCTGTCCTCTGTGAGCGTCTTCCTAACCGTCCTCCGATGGGCGGACGACGAGCTGGTGCCCGTCCTCCCCGCGCCGGCGCCCTCCGCGCCGTCCTCGGGCTCGACAAAGGCCGGTTGCCTCCGCGCCGCCCGACACGCCCCCGAGAAAAACGTCGTCTTGAGGGCGGACCTTGAGGAGCAACGTTAAGGGGAGACCAGATCAGGGGTGTAAACATCGACCTGATATCAGCGATAGGCCCCCGACAACGAGGCTGAACGTTCCCTGTACGGGGTGGACTATCCAGTCCCTACCGGCGTGGGCGATATGACGAACGATGCATCCCCCCCTGAGCCTATCCCCCCACAACGGTAATAACTCGGCTCTCCAGCGGCCTACCGGGACGATCTCGACACCCCCAGGGCGCCCTCGGTGAGGCGCGGCTGCTGGAAGGCATGGCGAGACTGGGGAGTCGCCGAGCGTTATCGAAAACCCGCGAAAACCTCAGACCTCGAGCACCCCCTCGAGCCCATCTCACCCCTATACTTTGCCCCTGAGGACCTCGAGGAGCTCGGAGGGTCCGAGTCGACGGCAAACACCACCATCGGCCGCCTCGCCGCCGCGGGTGGGCCGCCGCGCCGCGCGGGACCCCCCGGCGCCGCGCGCGCCGAACCCCGCGGCCGCGCGCGCGCCTGCAGGGAAAAAGGCGCACGTCCCTCCGCATGGATACAACGAAACAAATGGATTGCCAAGGGTTTTCCATATTTCACAGCCAGGTGTTCGTCTCCCCCCTAAAATTTCCAATTTCCAGATATTCCGTCGAAATCAACACTTTGTTGTGCTTGTGTAGATTTCTCCCTCGTGATCCTTGTTGCTGGGAGGGGTTCGAATGAACCAAGTCGTCTTGTCGGCCAGGGAGCTCGGCGCACAGTCCGTGTTAAAAAACTGATCGGCATACGCCGTGGCTTACGCGGGCCGCCAGCGTGGCACGCCACACTGGAAACGAGGGCGCTCACGCGCGACCTCACGCGGGCAGCTTGCGCGCAGATGCCATTGAAGACCAATCCATTTTCACGCACGGTTTAGGTGGCCCCCGGTGGCGGAATCTGACTGGGGCGTGGAGGGCGCGGTATAGAAACAAAATCTGCCGACCCCTTGTGGGTCTCTAGGCGTGTGAGACAGTTCCCCCCATAATCCTCCCCCCAGGGACCCCAAACTGGAGACCAAAAGGGGCTCATGACGAGCCAAAAAGGCCTCAAGACGCTTCCAAGACGGCCCACGAGGGCCCCGAGACGCCAAACGAGCGCTCCAAGACGCCCAAGATGGGCCAAAGACGGGCTAAGAGGCCTCCAAGACGGCCCAAAAAGTCCCCACGAGGCCCCAAGAGGCCTCCAAGAGGCGTCCCAAGAGGGCCCATAGACGCAAACATTGGCCCATTCCCTTGTTAAAAATGTATTGTTCACAAATTCGCCTTCTGGGCTTTCCGATGCTCCCAGACGGCCCAAGAGGCCCTCAAGACCGCCCCAAGACGGCCCAAGAAACCTCCAAGAGGGCCCCAAGATAGCCCAAGAGGGCCCCAAGTCCAAGACGGCCCAAGAGGGCCCCGAAGACGGCCCCAAGAGCGCTCCAGGAGCGCTCCAAGTGGCCTCCAGGAGAGCTCAATATGGTCCCAGACGGTCCAAGAGCGATCGAAGACACCGAAGATGGCCTCCAGACGGCCCAAAATGCCCCCAAGAGGCCCCAAGAGGCATCGAAGATGCGCCCCAAGAGGGCCTCTGGACGCAAAAAGTTGGCCCGTCCCCTTCGTAGAACGTGGATTTGTTCCATAAATTCGCCTTTGGGCTGCCCGACGCTCCCAGACGGCCCAAGAGGCCCCCAAGACCGCACCAAGACGGTCAAAGAAGCCTCCAAGAGGGCCCCAAGACAGCCCAAGAGGGCGCCAAAACGACTCAAAAGGCGCCGAGGACGGCCCCAGCGAGCCCCGAAGACGGCCCCAATAGCGCTCCAGGAACGCTCCAAGTGGCTTCCAGGAGAGCTCAACATGGTCGCACACGGTCTAAAAGCGATCGAAGACGCCCGAGATGGCCCCCAGCTGGTCCAAGACGCCCCCAAGGGGCCTCCAAGATGCGTCCCAAGAGGGTCCCTAGACGCAAAAAATGCACATTTCCTTCGTGAAACGTATACGTTGCACAACTTCGTCTCGTGGGCTTTCCGACGCTCCAAGACGGCCCAAGAGGCCCCGAAGACCGCCCCAAGACGGCCCAAGAGGCCCCCAAAACGGCCCCGCGACGGCCCAAGATGGCCCCAAGACGGCCCAAGAGGTCCCCAAGACGGCCCAAGAAGGCTCCAAGACGGCACCAAGAGGGGCCCAAGAGGGCAACCAAAAACTCAAAAACCTAGCTTTCCGCCCCAACGAGCCCCAGGGGGCCCCAAGAGTGCCCCAAGAGGCCGCCAGAGGCCCCCAAGAGGCCGCCAAGACGCCCCAAGGAGCCCCCAAGAGGCCCCCAGGAGGCCCCCCAAAGACCCCCAGACGCTTCCGTATTGCGAGCCGCCAAGCCAACTGCAATGCACTCCGCGCATACAGCCTTACTCTTCCCCGCGACGTGCTCACTATCTTGCTCGGCGCTAATGTGCTGCTGCCGCGCGAACTGTTTCGTGCGCGCTGCGAACGTCAACAGTCTCTTCACCCGTTTCGACTCATCTGCCACACCTTTCGCAGCGATGCCTCGCTGATCACAGCTTCCGCACGTTACTCTTGCTCCTTTCGTCTTCTGGTGGTCCTCCACTTGGTTGCGGGTCGAAAAGCCGACCTCCCAGAAGGACACCCCGCACCCGGGCGCACAGCACGCAAGGCGCTCGCAAAACACGCCCCAGACCACTGGCATCACGCAAACATTTGGACCCCCTTCGTATCTGCCACCACCCGCGCGCGACACCGCACCCTCACACAAGACGCCGCTGGCCAGAAACTCCTGGCCTCGCAACGCTCACTGAAGGGGTCGGCGGATGCGGCGTAAGCCTGTAGAATCTTGAGGCGTCGCCCACGGTCGCCGGCCTGGATTTCTTTCTGGAACGCCTCCCATTCACTCCGCGCAGGAACTGGAAGCATCGTGCAGGCCAGCGAGTGGAACACGGCAGCAAGCTATAAGCGGACACACCCATCACACACACGCTCTTGCCTCCCACCCTGCCCTCCTCAAATATCATCCTCCACCACATCCCCTCCGCAACACCTCCGGGTTTCGAGCGGCAGGCCGCGCGGCCGCCGCTGCAACATGTCCACGACGCTCGGATGCGCTTGGCCAGCCGCCCAGCAGTCGGCGCTCTGATGCTATCGTTGCCGTCCCAGTCGCGACCCACCCGCGACCCACCTACAGTGAGGGTCTTGACCTAAGGAACCCTCAATAAGGAACGAGGCCCCTTTTTTCCATCAGTTAAACTTCGATTTCCCGTCGAAAACATCCGGGAAACCTGAGGCAAGCTGCGAAACACTTAAGGAACACGGAGCCCCTCCCCAACGAAAAGGGTTCCTTCTTCAAGACCCCTACTGTACGACCCGCGACCCACCCGTGACCCACCCTCACTCCGCGCCCGCCCCCCCACTCGTGTCTGCAACTGGGGGGTGCTGCATGAGCTTTCGGAGGTCCGCGCGAGTTTCGTGGACCTGCGCCGACTCCTCTTACTGGCGCGCGGAGCGCGTCAGGGGCGTCGCTAGAGGCCACGCCAGGGGGTTCAAGCGCAGATCCAAGAGATCCGCAACGAGCTCCGAAAGTGTATGCTTATGCAGTGTTCCCATCTTCGAGACGAGTGGCCTGCCCGAGAGGAGCGCCACAGATGCACCACGGACGCGCGGGCAACTTTGTTCCTCGCGCAAGCGACGGCAGGCTCTCGCACTGGCTGTCCTCAGGGGCGCCGGCAGTGAGAGCGGCCCAACGCTAGGGAGGGATAGGCTCGAGGCTCGAGGTTCTCGCGCACTCTCGGCGGTTATTCAGCCTCGGTTTGCACCCGCGCCTCGCCGAGAGCGCTCTGGAGGTGCCGGAATCGTTCGAAACGGCAGGTGGAGGCCCAAGCTGCTGCCCAGAACACGACCAAGGCGGAGGAGGAGGAGGAGGAGGAGGAGGAGGAGGAGGGGGAGGAGGAGGAGGGAGGAGGGAGGAGGAGGAGGAGGAGGAGGAGGAGGAGGAGGAGGGAGAAGGAGGAGGAGGAGGAGGAGGAGGAGGGAGGAGGAGGGAGGAGGAGGAGGGAGGAGAAGGGAGGAGGAGGGAGGAGGAGGAAGGAGGATGGAGGAGGGTCAACTTTAGGGAGAACTGCTCGGGGGGGAGACTGCGCGGACCCGACATGGAACACTCGTCGGCGCAGTCTGGTCTGGGCGGGTGCCCCACCCTGCCCCGGAGCACGCGGGCCTCGCCCACGGGGGGCCCTCGCCGACTCGTCGGCGAGGCATCGCCGACTCCAGGGCCATCGGGTCCCGGGCTGTTTGCCGACAGCCCCGAGGCCTCCTGGATGCGGTCGGAGTAACGATGGGGTCGGAGGACCGCGCCGCATCGGCGATGAATCGGCGATGCGGCGCGATCCTCCGACCCCATCTACTCGGACCCCATCTAGGAGGCATAGAGTCCCGAAGCCTGTGAACGGCCCCCAGAGGAACCACAAACGGCAAAAAGCCTCTTGACCCATTTACATCAGCACCCGTGTGCTTCAGGGCTCCTGGCGTCCACCGATGTGCATTTTTCAATCCGCGGCCCCAAATCGAGGATCTTCTGACCCGGGTCAATCCAGACCCGGGTCAGCAGGAAACCAAAAACTGCAATGCAGGAAACAACAACTGCCACGCAGGTCTTCGCAAACCCGGGTCAGCCAATATGCGCGGCCGCCCCGCGGCCATGAGCGGCTCGCTAACCCGGGTCAGCCAGAGGGGGTCTTCGCAGGATCCTGCAGGATCTGGTGCCCTGGCTGACCCCTGTTTGCATTGCCCCCCGTCTCAAGGCTCCCGACCAGAGGACCCGACCGCTTCCCCGGGGAGGATTTTTCGACCCAGGTCCACTCTTGATGGCCCGAAAACGGCCACCGAGAACGGCCGAGAACGACCCGCAAACGCCCGAAGACAAGCAAACATCTGAGAAAATGCTATCGTCGCAAATCTGGGCCGATCTTGAGGAAGAATAAGCATCGCGCGGTTTTCTCGGATCGGCGCTGGGCCTCCCCTCCCTAGCGCGCGGATCGCGCCAAGGGTGGCGCTTGAAGTGCCGCCGGGGGGGCCAATACAAATCCAAGAAATCCGTACGGAGCTCCCAAAATTCATGATTGTGCCAGTGTTGTCGGCTTCAAAAGTCGCGGAGAACAGAAAGGTCAGAACATCGTCAAAATGTCAAAATCAGATACCCAAATTGCTGATTGACATAATTGGAACCCCGCCACGGTGCCTGCGGCACGTTGAGGGCGTGCTGGAGTGTGTGTCTACTGTCTGGCAAGATCTCTATGACTGCGAGGGGCAGCGATTGGGGGACCAGCGCGCAGAGCTCCGAAGTCACTCCTTACTCACACTCACTCCCAAGCCATACACCGTCCAGCGCGTGGGCAAGAGATCAAGCTTAACAAGTCGCATGCTGTAAAAGGTGAGACTCTGCGCTGGCTGATCATGGCAGGATGGGTAGGCAGAGGAAATCGAGGAGAAGGACGACGAGAGGCGGCATCGTATGCCAGTTAGTTCGCGGAGGAGGAAGCGCTGAACTCCGAAAGTTTGACTGTATGTAGTTTTACTTCGAATGAGCTCGTTCTCCCTCCCCCTCCGCTAAACGCCCACCGACGTGCGGGCCGCCCGCGGATGAGGGGCAACTTTGGGAGGGGCCAGCTCGGGGGGGGGGGAAGCCTCGAGCTGGAAACGGCGATGCACCGCCGAAAGATCGGCGGCGTGGTGAGTGGCGACGATACGGGGGGGATGCTCGAAGGTTTGAAGTTCGAGGTCTGAGGTTTTCAGTAACTTTCGTCGGTTCTCGGCGGCTCTCCAGCCTCGGGGTGGCTTCCGACGGATGCGCCTCGCCGAGGGTGTCCCGGGGATGCCTGCGCGCGGCACGCGCGAGGGGCGGCGCCAGAGGCGCCGCCAGGGGGCTCCGGCACCGATCCAAGAAATGCGCGCGGACATCCGAAAGTTTATGTTGATGTCATTTGTTGTTCCTCGAAGGGTGCACTCCGCCCTAATCCTGTCCCCGTCTTCCCCTCCTCCCACTCCTCGTCCTTCTTCTCGTTCTCCTCCTCCTCCTCCTCGTCCTCCTCCTCCTCTTCATCCTCCTCCTCCTCCCCTCGCATCACCAGCGGCAGCAGCATCATCATCATCATCACCAGCATCATCAGCATCATCATCAATATCATCATCAGCATCAGCATCATCATCAACATCAACGCCAGCATCAGCATGATCATCATCATCGCCATCGTCATCAATGTCATCGTCATCACCATCATCATCACCATCATTTCCATCATCATTGTCAATGTCATTGTCACCGTTAGCAGCAACGTCAACATCATAACCACCATCACCATCATCATCATGATCATCATCAACGACACCATCGCCATCGCCATCATAATCATCATCCTCATCGTCATCATCACCATCACCAGCATCATCATTTTCAGCAGCAGCATCATCAGTAGCAGTAGCATCATCCATCTGATTATCACCATAAGCATCATCATCATCACCATCATCATCATCATCGCCACCATCACCATCACCATCACCATCATCATCCGCAGCATCAGTATCATCATCGTTGTCGTCGTCATCAGCATCAGCATCAACATCAGCATCAACACCAACATCAACCCTGTCGTCATGTTCAACATCAACAGCATCGACAACACCACCATCACTGAGCCTGCCCCCCCTCCCGCTGCCCCTGCGAAAACCGAAGCGGAGATGGGCTCACAGCGGCGGCGAGCCGTCGAGCGCCATCTCGCAGTCCAGGAGGGCGGCGATGCCGCGCTGACGGTGCGTCCACGGCAGGAGGCGCCTGCGCAGACTCGGTGTCAACTCGGCTCGTACGAACCGACGCTAGTCGACGCTAATTCGACGCTAGTTCGATGCGACATTGGCGCTAGTCGACGCTGAATCGGCGCTACCTCATCGATTACCAGACGCTAATCGACGCCAGTGCGCTCTAAAGATGGTCTTGCGAGGGTACACATGGCTCCCATGCTCTGCTGCCAAACACGGAGAGATCTCCGACGATCTGACTTTCTCAGTCCGGCGATTACTGACCCTCGGTGTCAACAAAAAGATGATGTGGCTGAAGGCTTCACGGTGCCTTGACGCCCTCGGCCGGAGGCCGAGAAAGTAGTAAAAGGTGTGGAAGAGACCACCCTGGAGCCGCCGCGAGGCCACCCCGGGGTGGAGTCAACACTGAAAAAGCCAAGCAGGGCACAGCAGCCGAGGAGGAGACTACTGGCCGCCGCACTGGTCCTGGCCCCCGTTTGTGTGAAAGGCGGTGGCCAAATCGCCAGCCGCAGTCAGGGATATCAGTTGTCAAGCTGATGAGTCATGTAAGGGGCACGCTTAGGTGCCAGCGGGAATTAGGCTATACAAGCCGAGAATGGGCGAACCCCCCGAAGAAGAAGACGACGACGACGAACCGAACCCCCCGCAACACGGGACCCCCCCCTCCGCAGCCGCATCCCCTGCGCGAACCGCACCACACCGGCGGGGATCCGCGCGCCTTATGCCCAGGCCCCCCCCCCGGAAGGGGAGCCAGCAACCAGGCGTCGGCAAATCGCAGCACAACCAGTGTAGATTGGGGCGCAGGGAGGAAGGCACGAAACGTCAAGGAACCCCGCGCGCAAAGGAGCCCAGCGCGTCGCGCGGCCCCTCCCCCAGCTGTCCCGGGATCCCGAACCCGGAGTCACAGCGGCAGGCCCTCCTCTGGCCGCCCGCGTCAGGGCAAAGCCCCCGTCCATGCACGCCCCTGCCCCTCAGTGGAGGCAAGGGCCGTCTCTGGATGCCGCTGGGCGTTTCTGTAGACGCCGCGCTACGCACGGCCCTGGCCCTCCGGAGGGGCGTATGGGGGTGGGGCACTGGCGTGCCTGCCCGCGGCCGCTCAGCTTGCGCCGAGGAGCCGCACGTCCCAGCTGCCCAGGACGTCCCTGATCCTCGGTGTCGGCCCTCGGGGACCGCTTTCGGGACTGGGGGCCATCACATAGAGATCCAGGGCGGAAACGTGGCCCCTGGGGAAGGGGTCGCGACCACTGGAGCCGCGGACCAAAAGAAACACGATCCACGGAATGCCCAAAGACCTCACCGCACGCTCCATCGCCGCACGGTTTTATGGAACCCTGGAGGCCCCGGTGGCCCGAGGCGGCCTCGGAGAACGGCTCGAGTCCCAAGATCCGTGCGGTCGCCCCGAATCCCCACCGACTCACCACACATTCTGGTCACCGCAACGTGTGGGGGCCCCCGATCCCTGTCGAAAGTCGCCGGGGCCGCGCTCCGCAACGGGAGGAGGGCGAGGAAAAAGAGGAGCATCAGCACTCGCCTCGGCGCACCGAGTCCTCCCTGGAGCGCAGGAGGAGGACGAGGATCCGGATTTGAGGATCGATGCCATGTCACGTTCACCAATTTTTGTTGGGGGGCCTGTTGGGGGGCTCCACGTCGTCCTGGCTGGGCTCCCTGCGAAGTTGAAGCCACAACGCACCCCTGGGGTGGCCCCTGGGGCCGATGTTTGATAGGGGGAGAGGGGCCCACAGCCAGCCGAGGAGACCATCAAAGTCGACATCTGGCAGAACAAGAAGCGACGCCAAACCTCGCTGACCTTCCCCAAATCGGGGGTCGATCGCCTCACACTTCCTCCGACTGGTCGTATCAAAGACTCGCCACCCCCGGAGGTCGAGGTCGAGGGGGAAAAACAGGACGAGCAGCAGCGGCAGCGAGGAAGGGGGGGAAGAGGAGGCGCGGAGTAAGGCTTAGCGAAAAACCAACGAGCAAACGCGCGAGACGTCCCCGGGGAGGGACGTGGCAACCAGCGGCCTGCGCGGAGCGACTGCGGCCGCTCATCCGATCAGCCTCAATGCGTTCCAGCGGTGTTTCCCTGAAGCGGAAGGGGAGGGACAGGAGGAAGGGAGCATCTAAGACGGGAGGAAAAACAGCGGGAGAGAGGAGGAGATGGCGGAGCAAGAAAAGGGCGATACTGAACACAACCAGCGCTTGCCTCGTCCCGCGGGACATGACTGTTTGTTCGATACCCGAGTCTAGAACGCCTGGAGACCAATCCCCAACGCATGTGCCACGGACAAACGATCGTACTTGAATGTGCTCGACCCATCGTCGGTAAGGCCGGTGTTAAAGGCGTCATGTTTGAGCGATGGTTCTGTAAGACCCCAGCGAAAAGCTTTACGCATATGTGTATCGAAACTGTCCACAACGTTGCACATCGACTTCGTGGTCTTCCGCATCTCCTGGGCCTCTCCTTACCATTCGGTGGCACCTGGTGCACTTCGCCTTCCTGGTATTCCTCTACCTCGCCGACGTTGACTTGCTCACGGCCCTCCTCACGCAGCACTCGAGGATGGTGTTCTTGGCGCGCCGATGACGGCAGCAGCAATCCACTCTCCCTCTGGGACCTCGCCCCCTGCTCCAGTCCATGGTGTACCTTGTCCTGTGCAAGATCTTCGGCACCGCCTGTACTCTGAGCCCTCCGGCCGCCTGAGGCCCTGCCCGCCCGCGCCCTGTCTCCCCAATTAGGGCTACTCGCGCTCCGTTTAGCTCTTGACCAGAAGGGGCCCACACCCGACCCGCAGAACAACAAAAAGTGTATCGAAACTATCGCACAAGAGTAGTATCGCATCGAACTTATTGGACAAGAGGCCCCGTAGTGAACGATTTGCTGTGGCACCACGAAGGACGACGGCGGCCTCACTGCACTCGCGACCATCAGCAATTCGTCCATCGCCGTCGAAGCGGCGCATGATGTCCCCATTCGCATCACGCCATGGTAATCATGGAAAGAACACTTAGCAAAGGAACTGTAAACTTGCATGCTTTGTAACGTATGTAAACTTGTCTCGGGGCCTTAGGATGGCGCGGTCCGCAACCACTGAAACTTGCTCCTGGACGCCACATTCGATTCTGCTCATCTTCAGAATCCCCGAGCCGTTTCCCAGTCTTCTGGTCTCCAACCATATCCTCGAGCCACATTTCCCGCCAAGCGGTGTCAGGGTAGCTAGAGGTGGGACTAAAGCGGAAATGGCCGAAAGAGCATCTGCCCCATCAATGCGAGCCCTTAAAGCATGGATGCCGTAATAGACCAACCGAAAACACACGAAACATCAACGTATTGAGGTCGGCGCGGATTTCATGGATCCGCGCGGACACCAAACATGAATGTCCATGCCGATTCCAATCCTCCTACATGAGTGCCCGCATCCAGAAACCTGCCCCGTTCGTTGTCTTCCCCCAGTGGATTCGGCAACTTCTTTTTTGCAATGCCCTGTTCTCCAGGGTCATGACTTCAAGCCCATGAAGTAGAATACAGATGCCGTCAGAAACAGTTCCAGAAAACTATCCCAGATAGCGGTGGATATAGCTAACCGCATCCCCGATTGTGTGTAGGTTCTCGACGGGACCAAACATAATCCCAGCAACGGGGCCCATCTCGGAGACATACGATGGGGGGCGTCCATCGCGCCCCAGGGTGGAGACACGATGTTTGCACAAGACCTTGGGGCGGGGGTGAAACAAGCTGGTCTGACACACGGTACGCGCGCGAGGGCGGTGGCCTGAATCGGCCCCCGATGGGCGTGTGTCATCGCATCTGACCCGCCCTGACTTGTCGGAGAACCCTGGCAGTGGGAGCGACACATCCGCTCCGACCAGATGCTCCACCCGGAGTCTTACGTGTACCGTGCTACCTCTGCTGGGCCTGGTTTCCACCACCACCACCATAGGTTGGAGGGGCGAATGAGGAGGAGGACGAGGAGGAGGAGGAGGAGGAGGAGGACGGAGAGGAGGAGGAGGAGGAGGAGGAGGAGGAGGAGGAGGAGGAGGAGGAGGAGGAGGAGGAGGACCCCCTCCCCCTCCAACTTATGGTGGTGGTGGTGGAAAACAAGCCCATCAACCTCCAGGAATGCTGGCTGCGGAACGCAGGGGCAGTTCTGGCCGCGGCGAGCCTCGGCCACGACTCGGCCCCCGCGACCCGCCTCCGAGGAGCGGCCCGACCAGCAGGGCCCCTCCCGAGCCCGACCAGCGGCCCTCACCTCGGCGTCTGGACCGCACGGCGCGCCGAAGCATCGACGAGGCCCCGCGACCGAGCCTCATTTTTTTTTTCAAAAAAAAGGGGACGACCCCAGAGAGAACCCCGCGACCGAGCCTCTTGAGCCGCTCCCACACGCCCGAGAACGCCCCCGCGTCCTCCAGGTAGGCGGTCACCTGCCCCCCCCGCTCCGCTCTCCCGGCCGATCCTGGAAGTCCAAGGGGGAAGCGGCGAGCAGACGACGCGCCACAAGCGCCCCCGAGAGGGGGCAGGCCAGCGAGCGTCCCGCGCAGGGGGCGGACCGAGGCCGCCGCAGGGTTCCTCTGCGGTGCTATCCAGAGGTGCTGAGAAAGCCGTTGTCCTGTGAATGCCTCCATTCCGTTACAGGTGCTGCTGTCAACCATGTAAGGACGCTGGGATTCAGGTGTTTGTACCGTCGCGACTGTTTTGCATCTCCAGGGTTGCGAGGCGTCGCTTCGTCGCCAGATGGTTGGCTGCTGGAGGGAACAGACATACCAAGCGTGGACGCCACGCCGTACTCGAAGAGAAGCAAGCCGAAACAGACATACATTGTCATGGGTCCGCGAGAACTTCTTGGATCGTAGCTGGGCCACCCTGGCGACGCCTCCGGCGGCGATCCAAGATATGTTGGCGGCCCTCCGAAAATGAATGTTGATGCTGGCTTGCTCCTCGACGTGAAAAGAAGGATAGCGCAGCGTGGACACCAGGCCTGTCTGCACAGCAAAGAACAACAAAACACGTGGATCTGGGACGAGGCAGGACCGCCGAGTCGACGGTTCGCTGGGCTTCCGTCTCGAATCCTGGGATCTGCCACAGCCAGACATGGGAGGACAAAAGCCAAGACCAGCATGAACGTATTTTTCCCATTGCCTCTGGATTGCGTTTTGCGCCAGCTCGAGCCCGTCCTGGTTCACCGAATCCCAGGGGATAACAGTCGGGAGAAGAGAAGTAAGCAGCGCTTGAGAGGCGCGCCACAAGACGAGGCCCACCCGCGAGTCCAGCCGTTCGCGACGAGCACCGGAGTCCGGGACCCCTCCGAAAAACCCATGCAAGGGCCGAGGCAGGCCCAGGGCTCCAGATGCTCGGCCCCCAGGCTCCCCCTCCTCCTCCACCTCCTCCTCCTCCTCCTCCTCCTCCTCCTCCTTCTCCTACTCTTCTTCCTCCAAATCCTCCTCCTCCTCGTCCTTCTCCTCCTCCCCCTCCTCTTCCTCCTCCTCCTTCTCCTCCTCCCAGGCCACACCTGCAAAATCTTCGCAGGACCACGCACCCTCAGGGGCTCCGTTCCAGCGGCGGTCTTGGTGCTGGTATCGGCTCTCTGGCAATGCCGAGGTCGAAAAGCATGTACTGGCACTAAGACGCCACTGGGAAGGCTGGGAGCACTTTCCCTGTGGATGCTGGTTGGGTGAGCGGGGCTTCCTGAAGCCCAAGAGCAAGCCAAGGCCCAAGATCATCCATCACTGACCCCATTGAGCCCGAAGGTCGAATCTCAAGACTCTTGGGGCTGGTAGGGCTGAAGGCCTCATAGTTATCATTGGCCTCATGGGGATCGCTGGAAAGGAAGAGGGAGAGGACCCACGGCGTCCTTCACTTTTCCTCAACTCGTTGACATCGGGCACTCCAGCGCAAAAACGCGCACGATGGTATGCAACTGAGACTCGGCATTTGTTCAACAGGATGTTGGTGCTGGTGTCGGGTTCTGGTGCGCCGCAGGCATCTAGAGGCGAACCTGTGCAACACGCGCGCGTGCCATTGGCCTGCCGATTGACGTGCGGATTGAAGTGGGTGAGAACAACCCAGTCACAGTCTCTCCCTCTCTCTCTCTCAATGTTTCTCCCTCTCCCCCCCCCCCACACACACGCACACACACACACACGCACACTGACACGGACACACATACGTACACGCACGTTTTACGTCGACGGGCGGCAGGGAAGGTCTGCTCGCGCTTTCGGTGTGCCGGAAGCGCTCGGCAAATGCCTGCAGATTCGTCGCAGGACCGCGCTCCAGGCGAGGTCGAAGTGCTCACGGCTGCTGCTCTAGGCGGAGCTGAGAAGCTCGTCCATGACAGCAAGCGCAAGAAGGAGCGGGGGTGGGAACCTTGGATGGACAAGTGTGGGAAGCGCGGTGGTGTCTCCGAGCCACACTCAAAGCTCGAACGGCCAGACCTCACTCAGCTCGACCCGCCCCCTGGCCCTACTGTTCAGCAGCTTTAGCAACACGCTTCTGAATTTTGCAAGCCCAAAAGGGGCCAAGGATACGAAGTTGCCAACCCTCTGCATATGTTGTTCATAGGGGGCCGAGAGGCTCTTGCTGACGCGCTTCACTAACTTGCGGTGCGTTTGGAGTAGCCCTAGCTTAGGATCAAGTTGTCGTCCTTGCCACAAGGACGTGGGGACTCAGGCCCATAGCCCTCTGCATTGCCTAGCCAGGAATCTTTGCAGGTTGCGAAAGCAGGAGCTTCACAACTGGCAGAGCCAGATTTTTGTTGAGGCTTCAAACGGGGCACCAGAGGCAATGCCTCTGACGAGTGTGGTGGGTGCAGTCGGCGCGGGCGGAGGGGGCTCACAGGAGGGGAAGTGTCGGGAACGATCATCGTGGATCTGAAAACAGCGTTCGAGCTGGTGCGCCATCATCCCCGAACCAGTGCTGCTCAGCAAACAAGTTTCCCCACGAAGCTGCTGTATCTTCCAGTCAGTCTAGACCACATGCCGAGGATCCTCGGAATGGGAATGTTTGCGTCCAAGCCATTCGTCTCACAGCAGAAGGTGCTACCTGGGTGTGTTTTGGCGACTGCGATTCTGCAACTGGTCCTGCCAAGACCACTCGATGCAATGAAAAGTGCCGCTATCGACGGCAGGGCGCTCGGGATGTCGCTTTCCAATGTGGTCGATAAAGTCGACATTCAGCGTTTCGGAGAAGAGGCTCGCGTCTTGAAAGAACTCACGGGTGATAGCTGCATGTCAAAGCAGAAATTGCAAACATGTGACCTCAATGTTGCCACCGAGAAAACGCGCTGCTCTAGCCAGCGCTCTCAAGCTACAAGACAGCATGAAGTAAAGGTTATGGTGCCTCGGAGGTCTGATGTCACGTGCTCAGAGAAATCTGGGGAATTGAAATCACGTCGGGAGGCTCGGGATGAAAACGAAGCGTGACAGACTCTCGGCTGCTGCGCCTAGAAAGCGGCGCTTAAATGGCTCAGGCAAGCCCAAGAGGCGTAGGCAGGTCTTCAGCATGGCGAAAGCCACCTTAGAGACCAGCGTCAACCATGCCACGAACGTCACATGGACCAACGATCAATGATCAAGAGCTGCACCGGTTGAGGCAACTTGTGGGCAACCAGGGGCCCACCAGCTCGTACTCCCTCACTCTTCGTCCGCTGCTAGCCCTAGGACGCCGTGTCGGCACTATTTTTAGAGCGTCCTCAGAGCCTATCGGTGCTATGCTGGCGCTTGGCATCAAGCTTGGGTGCCGCAGCACGTCATCACCCAAGGGTTCCAGCGATGCCTTCAGACAGCTCAGCAAAGGAGACGCAGTTTGTGGCAAAACATGCCTGGCCTTTTGCTCTGCGTGTGGCCACTGCGTCTAGGTTGGGGAGTGTTTGCGATGGTCTCTCGCTCGGGACCTTTCCCTGGGGCCAGCAAATCAAGCCTGGTGATGTGTATGTGTGTGTGTGTGCGTGCGTGCGTGTGTGTGTGTGTGTGTGTGTGCGTATGTGTGCGCGCGTGTGTGTGTGTATGTGTGCACGGTCTTGAGGAGTTAGTTGACAAGGCCTGTGAGGCCTGGCAGTGCAAGCAGATCAGCGGTCTGCAAGTCTCTGGGCATCCCCGAGCTTGAGCCAATTGTGAGCATTCTGAGTGGGCAGTACCCTATCACACCCAAGGAACAGTCCCACGTGCGTTCCGCGCTCGTGGGCAGTCGGTGGACCCAACAACGCATACAAGGTTCAAGTGTTGTTCAGAGACCTGAGTGTCGTGCTTGTGAGTGCCCTTGGCACGTTGTACCACGGGCACCTGACTTGCGAGGCCCTCATCTGCAAATTGGCCCCAGCAGAGTGTGTATGTCGACGGCTCCCGCTATGACCATGAAATCCCACATGGGGCTCTGGGGGTTGTGCCGTCGTCGGTTTAGACACGTCTCCTCCACCAACGCCAGTGACTTCGAGGTCAACGCTGTGCTTGGGAGGGGATTGGAAGGGGCCAAGCCAGTGTATAGATCGAGCTCAGCATTGAACTGTCCTGCAGGCCCTCAGGAATGCTATGCCGCCTCTTGTGCTGTTCTCTACCAGTGACTCTGTGGCGCATGGCCTCAATGACCGTGGTCTGAATGCGTTTTGTTCCCCATCAGCAGCTCACTCTGACTTGTGACGGCTCGTGTGGGCTGAGCTTGATGACTGGGGTGGGATGTGACCTGACGCATTCGTACCCTTACAAGTGGGGCCCATCCCACACATCGGCAGCGCCGCAACGATTTTGCTGACCTCTGGGCCACCGCCATCACCAGACGGTGCGGGAGTCCCAGAGGACCCTCGGAGGAAGCTCAGGCGAGCAGAGAGAGTGGCCAGAGCGGCCGGGAGACAGCCAGGGAGTGCGGGGGGCGCCCCCTGGCGCCGCGAGACACTGCCCGCCCCTCGGCGGCCGAGCTCAAAGGCGGTGCGGTGAGGCAGCAGCGCCGCCAGGCGACCCCCCCTCCCGCCCGCCCTCCCAGGCCGCCCGAGCCCCCTGCTGCTGCCGCCGACCCCCCCGTCGCGGTGTCGTCGCCTGCACGACCCTGCGCCGCGTCGTCGGCGCACGCGCTGCCTCGGCCTCGGCAAGCGCACGCGCCTCAGTGTGCGCTGGTGCACGCGCCAAGCCTGCCACCTCTCACAGGATTACAGGCCCGCGGGTGCGTGGGCTTGAGCATGGTGGCTGGCCTTCGGAAGCATCGTGTCTTATTGCGTGGCAATTTGGGAACTGTGGAGCTGTCACAATTCACTGCTTGAGTTCTGGGAGCTGGTTGCGACCCTCGGTGATCTGACCCGGGGCTTCTGTTCGATTGAAGCGTTTGTAGGCCAATTTACACTGACCTCATCGTTCCTATGTGCGTCCCAGGGAGGATGCGGAAGAGGAGGAGCCAGCAGGGAGTAACAGGGAGAAGAAGACAAGGAGGGAGGAGAACATGGAGGAGGGAGGGAGGAAGAGGTGTGAAGAGGGAGGAGGAGGGAGGAGGAGGAAGGAGGAGGAGGAGGAGGAGGAGGAGAACAAGGAAAAACGAGGAAGTAGGGGCAAGGATGAAATATGAAGAGGAAGGAGGAGGAAGGATGAGACGGGAGGAGGTGGAGGGTGGAAGAGGAGGAGCGAGGAGGAGGAGGAGGAGGAGGAGGAAGGACCAACCCCTCCCTTCACGTAATCTGGAATCTCGATGAGGCCGATACCCTGCATCGCCTCGGCAACCTGCGTCCCCCCCCCTACGGCGGGGGCGGGCACGGGCACGGGAGCGGGTAGGCGAGGGCAAAGCTGGAAGATGAGCCTTCATGTGGTCGGAAGAGGAGCTCATGGGGTCAGAGCACATGGGGTCACAGCATCGGCGATGCGTCGGTGATGCATCGCCGATGCATCGGCGCAGTTGGTGTGGATAAGTTCGGGATCTACATCCAGCCGCATCGGCGAAGCATCGGCGATGCGGCGCAATCCTTCGACCCTTGGTGCGCCTTCATGGGAGCCTCTGCGGACCTCCGCGGCCATATCAGAAATTTCGGCCAGATTTCGTCCAGATTCCGACCGCCCCTCTTCACCATGTCGTCCAGATGTCATCCAGATGTCGACCAAATCCTACATACCCACGAACTCCCCAACACCGCCAGGAATTTGGGGACCCTCTTAGGCTCCCACGAAAGACCACGCAGCACAGCAAGGTAGTTGGGAGGGGCATGGGAGGGGGAGCGGGAGTGGGAGGGCGAGGGTAAAAAGCTGGAGGGGAAAGGGGAGCGGGAGCGGGAGGTCGATGGGGCAAACTGCAGTTGAGAGGGCGAGGAAAAAGGCGGAAAGGGAAGAGAGTGAGACAGAAACCGCACAGGCATTGACGCTCGAAGGTCCGCGCAGATCTCTTGGATCGGCGCCAGAGCCGCCGCCAGGGCAGCGCACTCTCGGACATCCGCGCGGAGTTCCAGACCTTGAGCTTGTGCGCTTGCCCCTTCCTCCAGGGAGAGGAGAAGGGGCTGGGAGGGCGGGAGGAGGACGGCGAAGCGCTGGACGGGGGAGACGGGGAGGGCCCCGAGGGGAACGGCGGGGGCCGCGGCGAGGGGAGGAGGAAGAGGCTGCGGGAGATCAGTGGGCGAGCAGCGGCAGAGCACCAGGACGAGGAGCCGAGAAGAAGCTCCAAGGGGACCGGGGGGGGACGGGCAAGGAGGGGCGGCGGGCCGAGGAGGGAGGCGAGCCAGGCGCGCCGGCGTTTCATCCGACGTCCTGCCCCCTGCCTCCAATGCCGTGCCGTTGCGTAGGTCTCCTCGCTGATCGCACAGCCGGAGTTCGGACAAGGAAGTGGTCCCGGGAGAGAGCGCGACGCACGGTAGAGTGCGGCATAGCACACAGAAGAGCACGGCCACAACCGACGTGGTCGCGTCGCGAACACAATTCATTTCGACAACAAGGTCAGAGAGAAACAAGACGTGACACAGAATGGGAAATGCAAATGGACGGATTGGAAAGCGGGAAACGCAAAATGAGATCAGCGCTGCCGCGGAAACACAATGCCGGTGAAATGAGACCAGCGCTGCAGAAAGGACTGGTGGACCAGAACCGAAGCCAACGCTGCAGCAAGAGCACAAATTGGAAGGACCGAACCAATGAAATGACGTCGGCGCTGCTGCGGGGGCGCCATTCAGAAAAGACTGGAACTTCCGGATTGGACGAACATCTAATAATCTTCGTGTCAACGGCATTCCGTGCGTCAAGAACAATACCCGGAGGCTAAGACACCTCACCAACGTCTTCGGGGGAGAGGGGATAACACTACTCATATGGTATTAACTGTAGACGGAATACGGCCTGCAGGATGACCGCGCAAAAGGGGCGGCGGGAGGAGGACACGGGGGCACCGACACGGCCACTCCGCGGACCTCTCCCGAGGTGCGTTCCAACCGAACTTCGATGGAAATCCAGCCGTGGCGACGAGGGCGCTCCAGGACGAGCAGCGGTGTCGGCATCGTCTTCTCCCCCGGGGGCAGGGGGACGACACGGGAGGAGGGGGAAGGGCGACGTGCCCGCGCTCCCGCTGGTGGGCCGAGTGGCGGGGCGCCAGAGCTCGCTGGGGGCTCAAGAGGCGGGCCGATCCAGCGCCCGCCCTGACAGGACCCCGCACTTGCCACTCTTCGCCGAGACACGCGCGCGTGACGGCGCGGATGCGCGCGGGCTCGAAGCCAGCGACCGCGGAGGTGGACCTCCCAGAGATCCGAGGCTCCGACAAAAAGATTGGAGTTGCGGCTTTTGGTAGTTTTCGGCCTGTGGGGCCCTCGCCAGGCCTCGGGACCGCCAAAAGACGACTCCAGGAGGAAGAACTGGCCCTAGGGATGACAAGCGAACAACACACACACACACACGCACGCACGCACGCACGCACGCACGCGCACGCACGCACGCACGCACGCGCGCGCACGCACGCACACGCACGCACGCACATACACATACACATACACATACACATACACATACACATACACATACACATAAACATAGACATAGACATAGACATAGACATAGACATAGACATAGACATAGACATAGACATAGACATAGGCATAAACATAGACATAGACATAGACATAGACATAGACATAGACATAGACATAGACATAGACATAGACATAGACATAGCCATAGCCATAGCCATAGCCATAGACATAGACATAGACATAGACATAGACATAGACATAGACATAGACATAGACATAGACATACACATACACATACACGCACGCACACGCACACGCACACGCACACGCACACGCACACGCACACGCACACACGCACATACACATACACATACACATACACATACACATACACATACACATACGCATACACATACACATACACATACACACGCACGCACACGCACACGCACACGCACACACACACACACACACGCAGAACAATACCCATATTTGGACGACCGAAAACGGCTAGGAGGAAAACGGGTACGATGCCTAGCGCAACATGTTGTCCACAACCGCTGTTTGGCAGGCGGCCTTATGTCTCAAATGGACAACGGCCGCTCCTCCGATGAAAGGCCGAATGTGTCAGCTTCGGAAGGGGCTGGTGTCGACACGCTCTCACTCCAGTGAAGGAATGGTGGCTCTTCCGCCAAGTCCAAATCTGATCAAAATCGGGGGGTCCATCCTAAACCCGTCTTCGGGGGCGGATCCAGCTGTGGCGACGAGAAGCCTCCTTGAGGCTCCGCCGAGCACGAACAACGCCAGAGAGGGCCACCGTTGTCTCGACTGGCCTTCGCCTGAGATCCGACGTTGCCAAACAAGTGCAACATCCCAAAAAATCGCGACAGTAGCTCCACACCGCGTCTTGATGCTGCAATCTTGGCGCCAACTCTACGTATACGCACGGGTTCCCGGGCCCGAAACTATACAATAACTCCCAATGTGAACATAGAGCAACGCCCCAAATCTCATATCCTCCGATTCTCAAGACTCAAAGCAGAAATAATCGCAGGGAGATGAAACAGTTTGCAGCCCTCAACGGCAGCCGAGAGCAAACCCCTGCCTTGATCGCACCCGTGAGCCCGAGCGAGAGTGCAGAAGGGCGGGACCTCCCACGGGGAGGAACTCCTACGTGAGCCGTCTCCTCTTCCTCCTCCTCCTCCTCCTCCTCCTCCTCCTCCTCCCTGTCCTCCTCCTACTCCTCCTCTTCCTCCTGGTTTTCCTCTTGCTCCAAACGCTACCATCGCAACCATCATCCTCAGGAGGTTCCCCACCCGTCCTTGATTTTCAGAGCTGTAGTTTCTGTCATCCGCACGCGTGTGAAACCCAATCGAGAGCGACGAGCCGCTGGCGGCAGCGATCGAAACAACTGAGACCAACAACTTAGCCGCTCAAGACTGTGTTTGCGGCCCGCCGTGAGCAGGGGCGGGAAGTCGAGAGACAGGGCGGGAGGCTTGAGCGAAATAGAACGGACTCGGTGCTGCACCCCCTAGATGTTCGCAAGACAAATCGGAGGTTCCCCACCCGTCCTTGCTTTTCAGAACTGTGATACCTGATACCTGTCATCTGCATGTGTGTGAAAGACCCACATCGAGAGCGATGAGCCGCAGGCGGCAGCGATCGAAACAACTGAGACCAACAACTTAGCCAGGCATCGAGTGTCCAAAGGTCGCAACCGGTTCTACGGAGCACGTCAACTGTTGGGATTGGGAGGAACGAGTGGAGATTCTGCCGGAAGACACGATCAAAAGCGGCATCAACGAATACATCGGCCATCGCATTACACAGAACGTAGGGATATACGGCGGCGCGGGCAGTCCACTGAACACCGTGGCCGCCACGGCCCTGAAGGATCTGGTGTTTTCTTGTACCCGGGAACGTGCAGATCCCACGGATGGGGCGACAGCGCTTTCAGAGGTCCGAAACCCCGGGCAAAAAAACAGCTCGAAACCTGGTCGGTTTGCTCCGCGGGGCTCCCCAGCCACAGTAGTTAGTACTTGCATATTGCACTCCCGTCCAACGTAAAACACGACGTACGGAGTCACTTTGCCACGTGTAGGATGACGGTGGTTTCCCTGTATAAACAAGGAACACGCATTGGTTGACCCACTCTTAATTATCCGATTGGAAACCTGCAGCATTCGATTGCCCTCGCTTTGCAAGGGGGAGGGGGGGCGAGGGGAAGCCAAGGGAATGGCCACTGCTCCGGATGGCGTTGTGACCACCACGGGCAATATAGAGAAACTCTTGCAGGGCACCCCAGCAAGGAGCTCCAGACACTTCTCACTCCTGGTCATTCGAATCACCCGACGCAAGACAATTGACCTAAGGAGATCACCCGTGGGCCTTGCAACACATCCGAAGAGGACGCGGAGAAACCTCTCTTCCCCAACGAGTTGGAGAAGAACTGTTCAGAGCCCGAGAAGACCCATTACGGACCTGCTTTGGCGCGGGGAGGCAGATGGTCAGATGGCGGAGCCTCTCTGTCAGGCGGCGGCGAGCAGCGCGGACAACTCATTGAGTACTCGCGAGCTTGGGCGCCCATCTGCGTCCGCGCCGCCTGGGTCAGCCCCCGCTTCTCATAGCGTCAGACCGAGGCGGGCTGCCTCCACCTGCCGCGGCGCTGGGCCCCCAGCAGCGAGATCCGCCCCGTGGGCCTGTCGATCGAGGCGCCGCTGTGCCGCGCCATGCACAGCGCGGGCTGCAGCCCCCCGAGGTCGAGGGGGGTGGCCGCGCTGTCGA